GTGCAAGTCTTTGTTGTTTGTTCGTATAGCATCTCGCACATATTCAAACTTGGTTTGTGGCGCCTGTGGCCCCAGTAATGCTGAATGTATTGCGATCATAGAAAAGATGTCGTGAGTCACTTGGTATGCTCTTGACTTGTTAGTCAGTATGTTAATGATAGAAGTAAGGTTTTCTGCATTTACGTTAGGTGACCTTTGTTTGATCCACGAAATTGGCCCATGAACATAAGAGTTTTTCCTCACCACCGCTAAATGTTTGGTTCTGGGTGGCGGTGCAACAAATCACGTGGTACCGTTCTAGATCAGGCTACTGGCTGCTCATAGAGGGGTCCATAAAGGCACATTGATTGATGACTCTGTATGGCCTGAAGGAAATGATTTACGCAGACGTTTTCTGAGCGACGAAGGTGCAGCTTTTACACTCCTTTTTCGTTTCGAAAATAGACGAGCACGCAAGCGAAGCGAGCGCGCGAGAGAGATCTCCTTGCGCTAATAGTCAATAAATCCCATGCGGTTTTTATTTTCATACGAGAAAATCATCGACGATCAAAGAGAAAATAGATCGACGATCTCTAAAGAAAAAGTAGGGGGTCTGTGAACAGGCTACGAAAGTGCTTGCTATTATTTTAGTGCACTTTACAAGAGGTCTCAGGTGACTATGCTAACTTCACGAAAAGTCTACTTAGCTTGTTTAAGTTTAGCTAGGGCGAGAGGAGGAGATGGGTGGGTTGGTACACATACAAAAATTCAAGTCTTTATCACTCCACTTAGAGCTAGCAGACTTTGTTTGCTCCACAAAATTGGCGCATGAAAATAGAAGTTTTTACTCACCAGCGCTAAATGTTTGGTTTCGGGTGGCGGAGCACAAATCACGTTGTACCGTTCCAGAACCGCCTACTGTCTGCTCCTTTAAAAGGGGTCCGTAAGGGCACATTAATTAATGACTCTGCGCGGCCTGAAGAAAATGATATACGCAGACGTTTTCTGAGCGACGAAGGTGCAGTCTTTACACTTCTTTTTCTTTTCGAAAATGGCCACGGACTTCTCCCCTCGCCCTTCGCTGCTAGGCAGTCGTTTTTGCCTGAGGGATACCACCACGAAGGAGTTTTAGCACACAGGTCTCTGCTGGTGCAGACCTAGCGAAAAGGGCATTCTCCATCTGAAATTTTAAATCGATATGAAATGCTATTTTCTGATTTGGTTAAAAGATGATAAGTAAAATGGCTGAGACATTTTAAAGCATTTTTTCATTTAGGCGACGGATTTTGACGTTATGAAAAAGAACTTGTCAGTGAATTGGTTTATTTTCTAGCCTGCGAACAAGTGCCGGGGGGTAGTGGCGGAGAGAGCCAGGTGACTATTCCTTTTTTTAGGCGGGAGCTAGCATGTACGTGCATTCTGGTCTAACGCCATAATATGTAGACTGGCCTTTAAGGGGCGGGAGATCAGATCGTCAACAGCAGGTTGAGGTCTAGCCAGAAGATACCCTTGCTGCAGAGGAGCAAAGCAATACTACTTTCAGTAATTTAAACATGTTAAATACTTGTATTTCGCTCATTAAATGTGTCCATTGTCCATTGTCGATTTGTGGTTTTTCAGGAATGTTCTTTGCGGAGCATTGGACAATTTTTCTTAAACCAGTTTTTTACTCGTTTCCATTTCCCTGCTCTACCTTCATGCTGCATATGGCGTACGTGTGTACCTAAATCCCTCAATTCATACTGAGGTGATCGATAGAGAAGTCTATACTCCAAGCGGGGTTAAGATTAGTTAATAAAAACCAAAGGCTCAGAAGGCTAAGTGCAATGAAAAGAAAACTAGTGTGAAACGTTTTGCAGACTCGGCTTACTCTATTTGTTTTCTTTCTCTGTTTGAGTTTCGGCTTGTGTATCCTAAAATCAAGTTTATTTCGACCTGTTTTGGGGAATATAAAATATAAAAATAATTTTAAAAAAAGCAGTGTTAATTGTCATTTTATTTTTTCTTGTACACTCGTGCGATGATTTATCCTTGTCTGTACAGTTGCGTGACGGGACTCAAATCACGCACGGGCTTTCATCACGCAACACAGGGTTTAGTCCGTGGCTAAACGACGGAAGATTTCAGTAAACTGCGGCCACTTGCAGTTGAAACGACTGGTAAGTAAATTCTTATAGATCTCGTATCTCATTTAGAGCTAGCAAGCCGTTTCTAGCGGCTTCATTTTAGGTGCAGAAACTCGAGGTCAATATTTACACTCAACACGAAATTAGCAGCCAGAGCAGCGCTGTCTTTTTCAGCTACTTGCGTGCAATCAAATGCAGGGTTAATCTACTTAGTTCTTTTTTATTACCATCAAGTTGAAAAGTGTTTTTCAAAAGATTTTAAGAGCTTCCCGTAATGTGCCCCTGGTAAAAGAAGTTAAGTTTGCAAAAACGTTTGTGTGCTTACACTTGCGGCTAGTTTGTTGCAGCGTTCCAACGTGCGAAACTACCCTGCACGTTTCGGTGTCTCAGCGACG